AGCTTTAATATTTCTTCTGTAATGTCATACTATAAAGATGCCAGAAATAGATATGTAAAATTTCTGAGTTTTTCCCAATAAAGGAACAATAACTGTCATCTGAGCTGCTATTAAGAACACTATTAATTTTTTTCTTCTTTTTAAATTTCTTTCTTTGAAAGAAAAATAAATGTAAGAGATCAGTCACATGTTACTAAAAGGGATATCAAAGTAAAATGTGTCAGAAAGAGAAAATTCATAATTATATCTATGTTTGATTTATTATGGTAGCAAGAATGAATATATATATATATATATATATATATATAATTATTTTATTTTGCTTTAGGAAGATAATGAAAATGGTACACTAAGTGAACATGAAAGAAGTCTTATTAAGATTATTAATAATAACTAAACGCAAAAGTCTATAAAATAAGAGAAGAAGGATTAAAAAAATTAAACAGGATTGATAAATAACCTATACCTTCCTAGTAAAGATATCTATTTTAATAACTAAGAAATGAAAGTGGAAAGAAATATCTTTATAACTATTGAGGATTACTTACAAGGCATAACTAAAAGATGAAAGTTATGAATAAGAATAGAAGTGGAGCCAAAACCGGTTTGGCTTAGTGGATAGAGCGTCAGCCTGCGGACTGAAAGGTCCCGGGTTCGATTCTGGTCAAGGGCATGTGCCTTGGTTGCGGGCACATCCCCAGTAGTGGGTGTGCAAGAGGCAGCTGATCGATGATTTTCTCTCATAGATGTTTCTAACTCTCTATCCTTCTCTCTTCCTCTCTGCAAAAAAAAAAAAAAAAAAAAAAAAAAAAAAAAAAAAAATCAATAAAATATATTAAAAAAAAAAAGAGGTGGATTCTTTTCCAGAAGCCCACACAACTCTAGCAGTTGGCATAATTTAATTCCTGTGCAGCCACGCTCTGACTGCATGTGCTGGTCTATTTCCCTTATTCAACATACATATGACCCTTCCCAGAGAGTGAGCAACTTTAGAGCACAGGGCACTTTATTAATCTTTGTATGTGCAAAACCTAGCATGGAGCACAATGTGTATTTGCATCTGAAATCAAACTCATTCCAATAGCCTGAACCAAATCAACTCAAAAGTTACCTATATTGGAAACATACATCCCCCAAACTAATTAAATGATTCGGGAGATTATCTGCACTACCAGATAATTTATGCTACTAGTTGCTATTCCATGAAGTTATGAATATGTATATTCATACAAGGCTAACTTGATTAATCTTTAAAAATGCAGCCATTTCCTTTAAGTCAAAAGTCAGAAATTAAAAAGACTTTAGTCAGGTAAATAATATCAATATATGGAGTTGATTAGTTGTAATAAGCATATTTATTTCACCTTTGGTTGGAAAACAGGTACAGAGAAATATTTTTCCAAGTGTAAGAATGATGACAAATGGCAACAACTGGTCCTTAGCCTTAGGATCAGACACACACACACACACACACACACACACACACACACTTGTAGGGATTATGTTACACTTTCATGCTACTTCTATAGGGACAGCTTCTACTCAACTCTACTGGATGGTGCCAATTAGGCACCGAGGACAATTCTGACCCTCAAGAAAAGCTGAAAATCCAGATTTTTAAAAAAAACATTTTTTCTTTCTTTCTTTCTTTCTTTCTTTCTTTCTTTCTTTCTTTCTTTCTTTCTTTCTTTCTTTCTTTCTTTCCTTTTTCTTTCTTTTTTTTTTTTGATGGTGGTAATTTTTAATATTCAAAACACTATGTAGGCCAAGCAAACTTCACCTACAGAGCATATTTGACATGCAAACTCCTGGTATATGACCTCTGGTTTAACAATTTGATTACTCGATTGTTGCACTTATATTTACATATTCCTAAAAAGTCACATAATTTAACAACTAAAATATTAAGGGGAGTTTACAGATTGAAGAAAACTAAATAATAGGGGTTAAATGTGCTATTATTCCATTCTCATAACTTCACCAATACCAAGTATTTCACACACTCCATTTATTATCAAATTGAAATTTCAAAGCCTAAGCCTAGAGGTGACAAGAGAATAATAATAACAATTACAAACTTTAATTTAAAAGTGGTATAACTAAGGTTAGGTCACAAGTTCAAATTGGTTCTCTATATACAAGAGGCTTGATTATACTTTTAAGTGATGACTAAATTAGCAAATTATAGTAAGTAGGAAGTTCTTTCTTAACTGACATTTTAAAAGAAATATTCTACTAAGAAAACTAAAATTTCAACCTAATTTTAATCACTTTAGCTATTCAGAATTCTATTAATCAAATACGAAAAAAAAATGTCTTCAACACCTAGAATGATTAATGTGTTTGCATAAATGTGAGAAAAATGATCACATCTTCAAGTAATAGATTATACATACAAAGAAAGTTCACATGATAGCTATGCTGATGAAAATTACCTGCAGGCTGTTACAACATAACCCATGCATTAATTAACCTTTTGCCATAAATATCTAGAAACATCAGCAAAGATAGCTTTCTCTTTTTCTTTTGCTCCAGTTCCTTCAGCAATTTAAAGAGTAAAATGCTGTGCAGTTACTGAAGGATACAAATAAAATATACTTAGTTTTTATTAGCTCTTCATGTTACTACAATAAAGCCACATAAATATAGCAAGTAGGCTATCTCATCTTCTGTTTTAATTAATAAAAGATAAGAGATAATGTCCAATTTCTACATAAACCTTTACTTTCATGAATGAGATCAGTAAATCATGATGAATGTTGGCTATCATTTAATTATCTACCTTCTCCCTCTGTGAGAAAATAAAGGGAGGTTCTGGTCAGGATGGTGGCATAGGTAAATATGGCACTTGGAACTGCCCACAATGACATCAAAATTACAACTGAATTACAAAACAATCATCATTCATAACTACCCGAAATCCAGCTGAACAGAAGTCCTTTAAATAAATATATACAGAAGAAGCCACATCAAGACTTCTAGGAGGGGCAGAGACACAGAATGGAATGGTCTTACCTCCATTGGGACCATTAAAAATCAAGAGAGAAATTCTGGCCAGAAAGGTATATGCTAAGGAGCAAGAGTTCTTGGCCCCACACAGACTTCCCAGCTCAAGGTTCTGGTGCAGGTTTCTCCCAGACAGAAGTGCCGGCAGAGGCCATTGTTCTGTGATGAGCCCTTTCCCCACAGAGCTGCAGGTGGGTGCCATATCTGAGTTTCCATCCACCTGGTTAACACTATTAGCTCAGCCTTGCTGATTCCTTGATACACTGCTCCACCCAATTTGTGGGCCCATCCAACCCATGTACAGTGGCTTTTCCATACAAATGGTCTCTAATGCCTCATGATTCGGCCTTTTCTACTATCTCTCAAATAAGCAGCAACCGTTCTCTGAATGACCTATGTCTCTTGCTAAGTGATCCTGGTCCTGGCACTATCAGGAATGTGGCCTGGCTTGCATCATGGCCTCTTCTGGGCACTTTCAAGTCCCAAACAAGTAGCAACCATCTGAAGATCACTCTATAGCTAGTGTCAGGTGGTCCCAGGCAGGGCACAGATGGTGGCTGATCCTGCATCTCCCAGGAGGCCCCAGTGGCAGTGTACCTGGTGGACAGTTTCAGACTGTGCTGAATTACAATCCTATTACCTCCATGATCAATGTTTCAAAAAAAACCACACAAAACACATTCTTTATTACTTCATTTTCAAATGAATAAACACATCTATATTTGAGGGTATTTTTCAAGTATTTTGATCTGGGATCTGAAGTTGAAAAATCAGCTAACACTAAATGTTACCATGATGTGGGGAAACAGAATTTTTAATAAACAATAGTAATATGAGATACTGTATTTCCTCAAATCATTAAAGGCAAGGATCAATAAGACTTGGTGAATGTGCAGATTACTGCAAGATTTCAGGGCTGTTAAATCACACTTTAAATGTTGATATGTAGCAATTTCACATCTTTATGCAATTGTTAGTAGCCACATATTTTTTCCTCTTTGATGTAGTACTACCTCCTTTAGAGGGTTAACAGCCTCAAATTTAATTGTTCAATAACAATTAGAGCTGTTTCCTTCTATTAGTGAATTGTTAGTTAGTTTTAATTAATTCATTACATAATTAATCTTGCCAATGGATAAGTCAATCCTTCATTAGGTTAGGAAACATTCTTGTTTAGATAATAGGCTACAAATATTGTTTTAGAATGTTAGGATATTTCTCTATTATTCTAACTAAATGATGATTTGCCAAATAAATCTTTAAAGAGCTAAACTAGTGAATCCTTCCATAAAATATTATCCAGAAAATCAAATTTTTATTGCAGTTAAGAAGTACACAATGATATGTTAAAGTAAGTAGGTGACAATTTTATGTTCATAAAGTGGGCAATTACTATCTAGAAAATTAAAGATGCATATATTTCTCATTTTTTATTAAGGAAAACGTATTTTATGAGTAAATATTTCAAACTAAGTATCTATTTTCAATGACTTGGAACAAATTAATCCTTCATAATTATTAATATAGTAAAATTGTCTAAATGGATATTTCTCTTGTGTCTGCCTGGAAGATAGCTCTTCAAGTAAATTTAGAATATTTACCAAAACATTTCTTAAATTATTTTAATTTTGGATACACCTGTACTATAACAACATATACATTTCAGTGAGGTATATATCTACCTTAATTGGCAAGGCTAGTATATATATGTCACACAGAAAATGAACAATAAATATATTTTTAATATAAGGATACACAAAGTTTCAAAAGAAATTTGGCTACTTCTCCCAATGCTAATTTGCTAGTGCTAATTTAAACCAGGTTTAATATAGCCATTGATTCTTAGATAATAGTGTAAAAGATGATGACACATATGTGTGTATGGAGGAAAATATCTGACTTTTAAAGACTTAAAAATTAGAACACAAATTTATAATACTTCTGAATTATTACAGGAACGCACATGTTATCCTAGGAAGATAGCATCTACATACCTGACAGGTAATGTTCTGTCTCCTTTCCTCCTGTCCATTTCTCTTTGGGGAACAGGATACCAACGAAAATTCAGTTTCCAGTTAAAACCCCCATAAGTCATGTCTGACCCAGCCATATATTCAAAGGTATCATCACTAATCACATCAATGATGGGGCATACAACTGTTTTCCTGCAGAAGAAGTGAAACCAGTTTACACATAAATATTAATTTAAGTGCTACAGGTGTTTCTTCCAACTCAATACAGTTGATGTGTTGAAATTTAACTATTTTGTGACATTAATATGTTTTTATTTTGTCCTTTTTTCAAAGGGATTATTTCCTTTTACCAGATCTTCCTTCAGCCAACTTTATACTACCATGTATAATCTAATCAGATATAATGATTGATCTTCCAGCTGATTTCAAAAACATTTTAAGTACTAAATCAGCAGGATGGACATGGTCTATTATTCATAAAACCTCTGCCCACAGCGTGATTAGTACAGCTGCTTTAATATTATGCATCATTTTAGCTATATTTTTTTTATAGAAAAGTAATTGCATACAGAGAGTGGAGAATGGATGATTGCAAATTAGATCTAGTAGTTCAAATCTCAGAGGGGTTACGTTAGATTAAAGAGATAGTTTTATGAAAATCTTTATGGAGAAAATATCTATTATAAGAACAAATAACAAAAAACCAACAAACAGAAATAACAATAAAAATAGTAACTATCAGTACAGTATAAATGTTTCCCATGAAAGATATTAGGGTCATGACAATTTCTGAGTGAATTGTCCTAGACTTAAGAGTTTGTAGTAACTGCCGAAATCGGTCTGGCTCAATGGATAGAGCGTCGGCTTGGGAACTGAAAGGTCCCGGGTTCGATTCTGGTCAAGGGCATGTACCTTGGTTGCGGGCATATCCCCAGTAGGGGGTGTGCAAGAGGCAACTGATCAATGATTCTCTCTCATCGATGTTTCTAACTCTCTATCTCTATCCCTTCCTCTCTGTAAAAAATCAATAAAATATATTAAAAAAAAGAGTTTGTAGTAACTATCTACATCTTTTAAGATACAGAAAGATAACCAACTTCAATTTCTGGTGTTTATATCCTGACCCATCTTTTCTTGAAGAGAAAAAGCCAGGAGATTTGGGGTTCTTAATGGTGGCTTTTTAGGTAAAACGAATTGTTCGCCAGGGGAGATCAATAGGTACTCTTTTAACTCATAAAGAGTTGTGCCTTCCCATGCTCCCAGCTTATATGTCTTATTATAGTATCAAACTTGTGTCATCTCCACAGTAAATGCATACTTCTACCCAAGTTTGCCTCGCTTGTAGCTATTTCAGAAGAGCAGAACTTATTTGTCATATTTGGTAGAAGGTAAACATACAAATATGCTCTTGAATCGCACATAGATGTGGAAAGCAAGTAAGTGTTGTCCATCATTTATTCTGCTTTGGTAACACATACTTAACTAATACTTATTTTTGAGTCTGTTTTATATTCCACACAATTAATAGGAGACTAGTGTTTTCTGAAGTCAGTAGAATTCACCTACCCTTAGAAAATCTTCTTGGTAACACTGCCCTACAAAATCAATATCTTTATTTATTAAATTTAGCAATTTAATTTGCAGAAAGATGAAATTAAATCTAATAACTTCAAACAGGACTTTATTATCTAGTTAAGGTAACTTTAGAAATCACAAATAGAACAAAACAGTAGAGTTCATTACATAGAAATATAATTTAAATATGTTGTTAGATTAAAAAATAAATGATCTATGCATGACCATATTGAAACAATATTCTATTAAAAACTCTCTAAGCTGAATATGAAACATGCTTTAAAAGGCAGCATAATGTATGAATGTTGCCAAGAAATGCATTTATGATGTTCCAAGTTCATTTTATTTTGCCATTCTCACCCTCCTGTGAGTACTCTATAATACACAGAGTGGAAAAATGTTATTAGCTGTGTACTACACGCAGTTGACTAAAAGGTTCCTACTGCTTTATTCAACTGCTATGGTTCCTTTTACTGGCAGAATCCATCCATCTTCGTGGCCAGTATTAAATCTTTCCATTTAAGCAATATAGCTGTACTAGCTCACACTACACAGCCCTGGTCTTGAGTACTTAATTAAAAATGTCAATTCTAGAAAGACCTTTCTTTTCCAGGTGAACTTACTTTGCAAGCAAGGTGTATACAATACTATGTTTTTACATCAGACAGTATTCAACATGGTTGTCTTCCTAAGTGCTTGGGAATTACACTCGTTAATCACCAATGTTTATGAATATCTTCAGCAAAAGCTCATACCTCATAGCCTCATCATTAAGGAGAATTTCAGGTAACCAGGAGGTTCTTAATTTCTATATGTAACATTTAATCTTTCAGATTCCATCACCCTTATGCACAAAGTGGCAGTGTTGTTTAATTAAGCATTTTTTATAGCTATGCTCTGTATGTTTTATGATCGGAATGTGGAATTTATGTGTTTTTATTTTTTAAGATCCTGAAGGTAGTTTTGAACTAGACTTTGAATAAGGACATTGACCTAGCACAGTGGTACGGCAAACCATGGCTTTGGAGCTACATGCGGCTCTTTGGCCCCTTGAGTGTGGCTCTTCCACAAAATACCAATTGTGGGCACTTTGTGGTCAATGTGCAGAAGTCGGTTTTCAGTCTGGGCGAGTCTATTTTGAAGAAGTGGCATTAGAACACTCAAGGGGCCAAAGAGCTGCATGTGTCTCATGAGCCGAGGTTTGCTGACCACTGACCTAGTAGAAAAAAGACTAGTCTAAGAATAGGAACAACTGAATTACTTCCAAAAACTGGAGCAAGCTACTTAATTTATGTGTTCCTCTCTATTATTAGGTACAAGTAAGAATATCTACATTACTTACCTCACCCAGCGGCTGTGAGGATACAATAAGGTGCTTTGCAAAAGTAATTTACAAAATTGTACTGTTTCCAATTAGACTGATTTCCTTCCCCTAAAAATGAATATCCAACATGTTTACTATTTGAATCGTTTGACTATTTCTTAATCAGATATTCATGTTCAGCACTATTAAGTGAGAAAGGTGGGGACAGCTTTTTTTAAGAGCTAGGAATACACCTGAAAATAGCAACCTGGAGGAGATGTTCCGATGGAAAGAAAGCCAGCACTGTCCTGGCAGGTTCAGTCATCACCCAGGCAGAGAGAACATGTGAGTCCTCACCTGTCTTCCTTTATTCTTGCCAGCAAGGGCTCCAGCCAGCCCACGGTACATTCACAGTGAGCATCCAGGAAAGTGATGACCTGCCCCTTTGAAGCAGCGGCTCCTCGGAGGCGGGCACGGATTAACCCGGAGCGCTCTTCCATTCTGATGATCTTTACTGGCACTTCTAAGTTTTTCACATAGTTCTCTAATGTCGACTTGAGAAAATCTGCAACGTGCAATAAGAACTTATCAGGAAGTTTTGAAACTGTTTTTAAGACACCGTAGTGATACCACTGCCCAGATGAGAACTCAACACACAGAAATGGTGGTGAACTCCTGTGGACATTTTTTGCAGTGGGTGACATGAAGGATAGAGACTTCATGAGTGCATTAATGTACAGCGATTAAAACCTGTCACTTGGCTGACAAAGATAAGGATAAAATAGAAAATTAACACGTCAAACTCTAATGGAGAAACTAAGCCACACTGGCAAAGGCAGGCTCCTTCAGTAAGTTATTTTGCATTTACCTGGACTAAAAAAGAAAAAAAGACAAGTATCCATAAAGTCATATAAATATCCAATCGTATGAGCAGTTGAGTTGGGGGAAAAAGAAAGTCTTTTGAAAGTCATTCTGGCTGATTTCCTGGGTTAGTAAGAACCCAATGGAATCATGCGAGGAACTGTAATAATTAGTTACTTGTCTCTAGAGCTGGGATTGCCTAGACACATTGATGGGAATGCACTGATGATGAGGGGGTGGTTTCAGGGTTAGTATAATTACAAGGAAAATACAGATCATTTCCCAGCTGTCTTCTTGACCATAATAAAGTGTTCTAACGTAAGAAATTATGTGAGAAAAACATTTATACCTCTCTCACTGGCATCATCTACCAAGATGACCTCAGAAAGTAAATAGTGTGGGGAACGGTTTATAACACTGTAAACAGTTCGAAGGAGGGTGCTCCAAGCTTCATTATGAAACACAATAACTACACTTGTGTTTGGAAGTTCATCAGGGTAGACCTTCGTCTTGCATCTGAAAGGGGGAAAAGAAGAAAGATATGTTAATAAATAATTCATTTTTTATTCTGATCGCTGGAATAAAAAAATATCCATGATAGCATAATTTTAGACTTCAAAGGTCTTTATTAAGGAAAGATTTTATGCATATCTACAATAATTTTCCTTTTTACAAATGCTGTGAGTAATCAGTTGGTATTTTGAAAATTAAATATGACAATTACTAATATTTCATTTTAATTCCTGCAGGGAACCAAGCAGCATGATTTCCACGAGTCTAAGGAAGCTAAAATAACATTCTGAGACTATCAACAGGGAGACCAGGTACAACAGCGACAGCTGAATTCATTTAGTGGATGTAATTTTATTCATTGTTGAAAAAAGGACAATTATTATATAAAGCTCAAAAAATTATGAGAACACAGAAAAGGCATACATCCACAGAATTTTTCAGCATGTAAAACAGATTATTTTTCTATTCCAAAATCTAGCCATGCATGATTTCATTTTGTTTGAGAATGGTAGGAACCATGTCTCCTTTGTTGGAAAAGTTCAGGAGCCAGGATATATTGTATAGATTCTCAATTAGTGCTACATAAACAAATCTGAGATCAGGACAGAGAATAGGCCACCAGCACTTCTCAAACTTTAATGGAAATAGGGCTCTGTTAAAATGCACATTCTGGCTGGTCGGGCATGGCTCAGTGGTTGAGCATCGACCTATGAACCAGGAGGTCAGGGCACATGCTGGGTTGAAGGTTCAATCCCCAGTGTGGGGCATAAAGAAGGCAGGCAATAAATTAATAGTATTATTTCTCATCATTGATGTTTCCATCTCTCTTTCCTTCTCCCTTCCTCTCTAAAATAAATTTAAAAATATTAAAAAGTAATAAAATAAAATGCACATTCTTATTCAACAGGTCTGAGTTATACAGCCTGAGATTCTGTATTTTTTAGAAAACTCTCATGTTATTCAGATGCTGCTGGTGCCTGGAGCGCATCCATATTGTTATTACTATTAGAACTCCATGTCTTGAAAGAAAAAATTAACTTTGCTTGTGCAAAGCAGCCCAGATTTTACTTTTCAGGCAATCAATTAAAAAAGGTACATTTAGATAAATACTATGCATACTGCTCTACTAGTATCAGAAGTTTAACATGCAGGTGTTTCTTACCCCCATGAACTTGTCAACATTCAGACATTTCTGTCATGTGATTTTACATCATCATTATAGAATTAAAAAAAAAGTCCCTAGGTATCCATAGGGAGATTAAAGTTTATTTACCTTAATTATTTTTTCATATAAAATATTCTGAAGAGCTTTGGAAATAAAATCATTCCACCAAATAAAATGAATCCAACATTTCTTGCCACTCATGAACAACTTAATACATGACACAAAACAAGCATTGTAATAATTAGTCTCATTCATGGGTGAATGAGAAAAATCCAATAAAATGTGAGAGTTAAAAGCATATAATAAAACAAATACTGATTGTCTATCTACTGATAGTTTAACCATCTTTTAAAGTAGTTTAAATTTCGCCTGCTCAGTGAAGTCTCCTGCAATATAGCCAGACAAGAATGTACCTAAAAATTATATGCATATACTTTTCCTTCATCATATATTTATTTGTAAAACATTAAACATTCATAATACATGATATTGGGCATACAGGAAAAGAAAAATGAAGTGCAAAAAGGTAGTTTGACTCATAGTCATCTCTTCCCATTCTGCCAGCAAGATTCAAGTAGTTTCTATGTGCTTCATCAACTAACTCATAACCCCAGGCAGCTCAGCACTATATGAACTCAGAAAGCCACCCTGATAAGTAAGAATGGTTCTCTCCATGATTTTCCTCAACTCTCAATTCTTCAGCCTCATCGGACCCCATCTCTTTTGGCATGCTAAGGAAAAAGGATGGTAAGAATCATCATCATCATCATCATCATCATCATCAATAAAGAAGTAAAACTGGAAATGCAGGCGGAAAGCAATCTAAAAGTCAATGACAACGGGCTTTAACCCAAGGATAACAGGCTATAAAGACTACTCAGTATCATTTATAATAAAGAGATGAAATTTAAATCAATTTTTGTACACTATATTAGATGCCAACTAAGAAAATATGAATGACATATTAATATAGATAAATCATTTAAAAGGTCAAAATAAAAAGCAGACACTTGGATCTACCTTCCTAAACTATTCCTATCATCCTCTGTTTGTGGTTAAAAAATGCACCCACAAATGTTAATTTTTTATTCATAATATGTGACAAAGCTTATTGACCTAATTTATTATTAATGCAGCTATTATGTATACTTACAGAACCTTTGCACTATCATTATTAAATAAAGCATAAACATAAAATGTGGATAATGTTTTTATTAATTATTCCTCTTGTTCCCATATGAAAAGTTATTTATCAAAGAAAACTTTGTATAACAATAAAAATTATAGAATAATTCTTAAGTTATACACATCAATCATTTTCTATGTCAGTTTATCTAATTACCTCAAGTGCAATGGTATATATGCATCAGCAAGAGCTAGAATAATCATTGTTTCTGATAGATTTGAGTTACACTGAACTGGTATTATTGCCTGTATTTCATCAAAGCTATTCTTTCACCTATGGTAAGGTACACCCTAATTTTAGGTACCACTAAAAAATGAAAAAATAATTATTCTTTTCAAATAAACTGTGACATAATGTTTATTATCACTAGAATCTACTTAACACTTAAATAAAGCTTATACCATAGAATAATCTTTTAAAATGGTTTGGACATTGATTTTTAATATATGTTTTATTGATTTCAGAGAGAGGAAGGGAGAGAGAGGATAGAAACATCAGTGATAAGAGAGAATCACTGATCAGCTGCATCTTGCATGCCCCCAAGATTAAGCCTGCAAGCTGGACATGTACTCTGACCGGGAATCAAACTGTGACCTCCTGGTTCATAGGTCAAGCTCAATCACTGAGCAACACCAGCAGGGCTGGACACAGATTTCTATGAATATTGTCATTATTGCTAATGAATCAGTAGCAACAGTTATCTATGTTTCTGCTTCTATTTTGTTTGTTGAATTATTTTGCTCATTTGATTCCACATATAAGTAAGATCATATGGTATTTGATTTTCTCTGACTGGCTTTTTTCACTTAGCATAATGTTTTCTAGGTGCATTCATGATGTCATAAAAGGTAAGAAAGATTCCCTTCTCTTTTATTGTCATGTAACATTTCATTGTGTAAATGTACCACAGCTTTTTAAGCCATTTATCTACTGATGGGCACTTTGGCTGTTTCCAAATTTTGGCTAATTGTAAATAATGCTTCAATGAACAATGGGGTGCATATATTCTTTCAAATTAGTGTTCTCAACATTGATATCTCGATCTCTTTCCCTCTCCTCTCCTCTCTGAAATCAATTTAAAAAAAGAGAGAGAGAAATAACTTTTCCCCAAGTATCATTTCATTAAAACTAAGCATAAAAAATCAACTTTCATTAAAATTATGTACATACAGACCAAATACTCTTTTAGCACTCTGTTTTATCAAGAAATTATTTTTCTCTTATATAAACATCTAAATGAGATGGACAAATTGACATTCTGGTGGGAGCACAATGAGAGTAAAAGTAGCAGACTGCACTAGCAATTTTCATCAATTTGGAAGGAGTAGCTGATGCCTACTAGTCCAATTAAGTTCCTGAAATCTGGTATTCTAGGAAAATCATAAGTATTATCATAGCAATATTTCATATTTACACCATAGTCTGACATGCTAAATCTCTAATGCTTGAAGTGAAAGTTTATTTCTTTTTAATTCCACCAAATGATATATTAATTTGGCTGCAATTAGAATCATCCTATGAGCTTAAAAAAAACAAAAACATTGATGTGTGAATTTCAGCAACAGAGATTATGATTTCAGTGTCTGGGTTGGTCATGTGTAATGGGATTTTAAAATATATCTCCCTTGGGGATTTAAATGTTTGCATGTACAGCCAAAATTGCAAACTGTTACCAAAAGTTAATGAACAGAAATTCTGGATTTTACAAAAAAAAATAATAACATTTTTAATGTAAGTATATTATATATAAGTATATTTATATACCTACATATATATCAATATATATGATATATATTTTATTTATATACCTACATATATATCAATATATATGTAGGTATATAAATAAAACTTTTTTGATTACATCAACATTATAAAATAATATACATAAGGTTAATATCTGTTTATGTTTATAGCAGATTAAATTAATGTCACATTTTCCTATAATTATAAACCCTGGATTCAGAAAGTCTTCTCTACTTAATTTACAATCTCTTCTGTCACATGTCAGTCAGGCCTTCTCTGTATCAGCTCTTGATTTATAAATATATGACAAATAAATCCACCCATTCTCTTTTCAAGAAGATATAGGGGTGGAATCATGTTTCCTATGTCTGGAACATGAAAATACAGTGATATAGTGTACCTAATTTACCACCTTTCCCTTTGGTTACGTACATATTACAGGAATACAGACTATTACAGTTCAATTTTATTCTTTTTAGAACCATACTATTGTTTTCAGATAAGCTATTGAATATAATATGCCACATCATAAAAAGAAAAATGGACAAAAAGATTCATAATTACACAGTGGTTTAGTTAGACATAATCCATTTAAGACTACAAACAAAGGCTGTCAACACTGTAGGTTGATGACTTGTTGGATTGTTGTTCAGTGAGTTAGTGGTTACCTTTTATCACCTCAATCAAAGAAGATTAATAACAGTAATTAAAAATATTTACAATATAAGTCCTCTATAACCTTCTTATTATTAAAATCTATAGGAATTGCACTGAATGTTGCAAAATTACGCATGGCTTCTGTTTCCAAATCATTAACATTCATATGTACAGAGAGAAATTTCATCATTTTCCAATGCATCCATGCAAAGAAGACTTTGGCAACAGGAAACTGGTTCTTTCATAATCATT